CGAATTTTGTGTAAATTATTGAATTGTTAATAGAGATTGAACATCCTACGTATTAATATTATAATAACTTCTCATTCCAGAGAAAATGTCCTCCTTTCTTGTGGAGCGGGCTGAACGCCTCGGCAGTATAGATAAATCTATGGATCGTGCCGCACGTCCCTCGGTAGTGTACACGACACTCTGGATCGGGCCGTACGACCTCGGCAGAAATCGTGCCTAATAATAAATTACACGATACCTTGATATTTTAATTGCTGCTTATGAAGTTAATTGATAAATTGGAAATTATTGAAATGTAAGGAATTCATTATTTTTGCTTGTTAAGAAAATTATTGTTGTTTATCTAAAAATCATGTTTAATTCAATATATTCTATTGTAATATTATGGACCCATAATGAGTGTCAAAGCCGACCTCTCGTCACTACTTCTTCGAGATTAGGCTTGATATTTACTGGGTACACGTTGTTTACGTACTCATGCTATGCTTGTTGCACTTTTTGTGCATGACCTGAGACAAGTACTATTGGAGGACATATCGGCGCACACCCACGTTATCCATAGGCTTAGTGGTGAACTGCCTTTCTGAGCCGTTCTGCAGCAACTAATGCCTCTTTTTGTATTTGTATTCTGTCTATTTTATTTCGGACAGTATTTAAAATTTTGTATAATCTACTAGATGCTCATACACTTGTGACACCAGGTCTTGACACACACACTAGTAGAATTTGTGGATTTAATTATTTTACTTGTATTTTAATTTATCTTATTTTCTCATAACTTTCTTAAATTTTGAAATTTCGAAGAGTTTAATTACTCGGATAATTTTTAAAGAAATGAATATATATTTAAATCATTAGTTGGCTTGCCTAGATGAGATGTTGGGCGACATCTCGACATATAGGTGAGTTTGGGTCGTAACAGTTTGGATATAAGAATTGTGAAATTTCGAAAAAGTAAAAAAAAAATTCAAGTTAAAATGATATTTAAAAATTAGAGTTGTGTTTGGACATGAGTACTATTTGGAGTTGTTTTTAATTTTTGTGAGTGATTTGAAGTGAAAATTTTAAAAAATAATTTTTTAGAGTTTTATAAATTTTCAAAAAAAAAATCAAAATTTAACTTCAAGTGATATTTGAAATTTTTATGGCGTTTTTGAAAAAGTAAAAGGATACAGAAAAAAAAAAAATGATTTTTGTCTTAATGGCCAAACGACAAACGGCCCTAAAAAGAAAAAGGAGAAGAGATGCAACTCCTAATTTCACCTTTTGAGAAATAGGTAAATGCATTTAATTTCTGTCTTCATTACCAATTAATAATTCCCGTCAATTTCTCTCTTTCAAAATTGCTTACACCAGCAAGAAGAAGAACCGAACAGAACCCAAAATCCCCAAATCTCTCCTTCCGCATCAATGGCTGAAATGGAAGAAACTCCACAGACCCAATTAGAACCCACTAATTCCCACGATACCCAGAAAAATTTTTCATTCAGAATTTGGCCACCCACACAGCGCACCCGTGACGCCGTCATTCAGCGTCTCATCGAAACTCTCTCTACCCCTTCTATCCTCTCGAAACGTTACGGCACTCTCACAAATGAAGAGGCTTCAGATATTGCCAGGTGCATAGAGGAAGAGGCCTTTACCTTTGCTGGATCCTCTGTCTCCCCTGACGATGATGGAATCGAGATCCTTCAGGTACGTAAAGGGTTCAACTACTTTCAACTTTAACCATTGTACGTATATACAAAGAGACTTATGTATACTAGTACTTAGTCATTTATCTGCTACTCTTTACTTCGTCATTTCTATATTTTGAAATTATTTGATTTTATACTTTACATTTTTCTTCTCTATTGTTTGAAATAAACTTTACTCTATTATTTATTTTTCTTCTTCTCGAGGCTATGGTCTTTCGTAAACAACCTCTCTATCCCCTCCGAGGGTAGGGACATACATTCTATCCTCCCAGACCCTACTTGTGAGATTATACTAGGTTGTTGTTGTTGTTGTATATTTTACCTTTAATGAGATCAGTGACAGTAAATTACACTGTTTAGATAGGTAAAAATTATATATACTCTGTATTAATTCCCTTGACTTTCTTGTGTACACTTCTTTAAATTTTAACTCCTTTCATAAAAATCCTGGCTCCGCTACTGAGTGATGATTTATAGCCACAAAAATGTCTATGGTTTATTTTAGATCACATGTTTCAAAAGACTTTCTTTCGACAAAGAGAGTATAATGTACTATATCTCACCCACTTCTTGACGAATCTAGCTTGTAACTTAGGAGTTCACGTGAATATAATAGCCTTTGCCTAGATACTCTATATTTATTAAGAAATTCATTAAATATCTATAAATAGTTGATCGTGAACCTAGTTATTATTGTATATTGACTTGATGTTGTTGGAGGAACTCATAAACATCAAATCCTGGATCCGTCTCTACACCTAAATTGTGATATGTATCTCTTTAGGAATACTACCATGTATATGTATAATAAACTGTACTTCTTAAGATCCAGTGACTAAATGGTGGATATGTATCTGCTTTAGGTATACTCCAAGGAGATTAGCAAGCGTATGCTGGACGCTGTGAAGTCTAGATCTGCTGCTACCACTTCCCCGGAAGCTGAAAGTAAACCATCAGAGTCGCTGGCGAATGCTTCGGAGTCTTCTGCTCACACTGGGGAAACCTCATCCATTGAAACCGAGTCTTGAAAGTTGCACCGAGGTCATTTAGTTTTCGTCTAATTGATTCTGCAGTGAGAAAAACTCTAGGTTTTAGTCAATTTAGGTGTACTGAGATCTCATTGTGCTGTTTATGGATTATGTAGATCGATATATATAATGTTGGATCAATAAACATTTATGTGAGAGCCTTCTGATTTATTGCCTTTCTTCAGTAACATGCATAAGATTGAGGGTTCCTGATATAAAGTCTAGATTCTGCCTGTGCTTTGTTATATCTGACACTAATCTCCATTGATGCGGACGGGATTGACTTGATTTTATATTTTATTTCTGGGAGTCAGTGAGGGATGCGTTTATTTTTTTGTTTTTTCGATTCTTCACATTTTTTGCTATTATTAACTTGTCTGAGTGTATGTGATCACAAAATCAAATAAAGCAAGAGAGTTGAGGTTCTATGTGATCACAAACCCAAATAAAGGAGGAGAGTTGAGGTCTCTAGATGTTAGCGTAAAGAGTAACTCTGATAGATACTGAGGAATCATACCACCAACCTTAGCTAATTTGGGATTGAAGCTTAATTGATTGTTCAGTTTTATTTTTACGTTTTTATGATTGGTGCTTAATGATCCAGATCCTCCTCATCTTGATTGTGTTATAACAACCATGGTTCTTAGGGATGCTGTTTTGACGGGATGTGTCATTTATTGCTTATGCTGTCATGTGACACAAATAAGTTTATCTAGTCCCTTGATAATATTTGGGGTTATTGCTTAATTCTCTGTTAATTAAGATGGTATATAATAGCTGAATATTATTATTGCTTCTGGGATATTTGGTTGGTTTTGTATGGACATGACTTGTGCTGGATCTCAACATTAATTTAGAGAAAAATGATACACATTCTATTAAGGCGTGGAGTAGGAATCTTGGAAGTTTTAACTTAAGCTGTGGATATTGCTTACATTTTACGTTTGTGTCAGAGGTAGTTCTTACATTTGTTTTGGTCTATTGTGTAACTTAAAAACATTTTCCATTGCTGATAGAATCCAACCTCCAATTATATGTGCGAGTAACAGGACAAGATTGGGGAATTGGAAGCCTTTGCATTTAGTGTATTTGCATGGATATACAATTGCCCTTTTAGAGTTTAAACCCAATTTTAAGTTTTGGTGGACAAAGTTATTCGATACATGTGCTGGTGCGAGGTAGTACATATTCGGTGGAATAATCGAGTTGTGCGAAAGCTTGTCCAGAGACCACCCTCAAGGCCTCAACCACAAAAAGGAAAGGACATGAACGATGAGATATATCCTTAATTAAGCTGGAAAGAATCTGGAAACAAACGCCATCTTTGGGAGATGTTTGTAGGGAGTTGGAACTTGACTTAACTTACATAGGTGGTAAACAGTTGGGATACTGAAACCAACGCTCTCAAATTAGAAGTACCAGAATGAGTAAAATGAACCTAACGTAGATCTATTGTTTGTTAATTCCTTCTAGTAAACCAAGACTCCAAGAGCCTAATGACTATTTTTATTCACGTTTAGTTATTTGCTATGGTAATCAAACGTAATTTTGAACTTCAAGTGATCATATATTAATATGGCGTCATATACAATAGTAAATTATCCTAAAGAAAGTTAAATATTACATAATAAATCATTAATCTAGCTTAACAACTTCACTTCATACACTAACGTAATCATTAGAATTTACACCAGCACTATTAAGCACATTTGAGTCTCATTGCAATAAAGTTGTGGAACTCTTTATTCTGTATATATTCTGATGAGTGATGGGGGAACTGGGAAGTGCACAAATAGCCGTTTTTAGGACCCATATTTGAAGAATAGTTAAAATTTACAATACTTTTTGATTTTGGCCGATTGTGAGTCGAAAGTTTCTAACTCAGACTCCGGCTCTGTCAAAACCTAACTTTAAACCTCAGGTCTTAAGTTTGTATGCAAGTTAACTTTCACTTCCCTTATTTTTCCTTTTACAACTCCACTTTTCCCTTATTCCTGATGTTAAGAATAAAATTACTCCTTTTGACGCAGGAGACATGTATGTATTGTTTAAAACGGTTGTTTACTCTAAACCTAATAGCGTCCAGACAAATCCTTTCTCAATTTGAATACGGAATGACCAGTTCAATTTATGGAAATTCCAACATAGAAATTATAAAGGCAGCTTAATATCGTTCCCTTTTCCTTTTCCTTGTCGCATGCAAATTTCTTTCACTATAAATAGAAAGACAACCAAATTCACAAATACTTGGGACAATTAATCATGCAAGAAAAACATCAACAGAAATCAAAGGCACATAACATATTACGTAACAAGAGAAGTTCAGTGAAGAATTCAAGAACAATGACAGATTCAGATTGTACGGAGTTTGAGAGAACGAAACCCAGAAAGAGGCGTCAAAAGCTTATTAAGCGTCCAATTTCAAGATCAAAAACTGTTTGTGATTATTTAGAAGAACTGTATAAAAAGAAGTAAGTTCTTACACTTTTCTTTTTCTTCAATTTCCCTAGTTAAACTTTTAAAATTTAAATTAGAATGATCTGCTATTAATATATATGACTTGGTTTCTTTTTTTTTTTTTAATTGTAGGGGATCCATAAGAGAAGACGCACTAGGCAAATTGATCAATGAATTTAAGAAAGCGGTGCGATATGAATTTGCTCAGAATATGTACGTAATATATTTAATTTTGCTGATTGTTTTTTTGAAATTTAATTGGCAGATAACAATATTTAGGGAAATATACTGATTAAATCATTGGTGTATGTTTTATTCAGTTGTGTTACTTTAACACACCGATGCGAAAATTCGTTGAAGCGGGGTTCTGCTTTGGAAATTGATCTTGCACTACAACTTATAGGTTTGTACATATTTCCATTAAATTACACAAGTGATATTTCTCGGCCACGATTTCAATAACTTCAAGTGCTAATAATTGATTTCTAAATTTAATATATGAGTACATATTTAATAAATTTCTTAATACAAATATCATGTTTGACCAAAATCTACTGGATTCGATCGAACCCATATCTGGACTTCTACGTCTTGCCCTGTAGACTATAGTTGATAGTACTATTGTTGTACTCATTAATTGATTGGGATGTAGGATTGTTAGCAATAACACTTGGGGCTGGAGATCATGCACATGAGATATATGAATATTCACTAGAGTTTCTTCCTCAAGTTCTCAAATCCAAGTCATCTCATTCTGCCAAGGTAAACTTTTGTGTTTGATATATTTTAAATATATGATATGAAATAGTTTTATGTTTATCTGAATTTTGGACAAATTTCATGAAATTAAATTAAAATTACCAGGTATTAGAATGTTTGGCTATTGTCACCCTTATTGGTGCCAAAAATACTGATGAAACAGAAAGATCCATGGAGATTATTTGGAAAATCATGAATGAAAAAGAGACAAAACCCAGTGTAAGTCCTTCGTCCTTCAATTATACTTGCTAGCTACTTTTTATGCACTATTGTTTTATCGTTCTCGATATGTTATTAAAGCTTTACCTTTTAGTCCAAATCCTATATTTGTATACAAACATCCACGGGATAATTTTAATGGAACTTAAAAAGACTAAGCAGATGTTTGAATAAAAATTATAATTTTTGAAAAAAAGTAATATTTGGAGTTAAGTTAAAAATGGTACTCCCCTCCGGTTTAAGTAATTTTTTTGACTCTTTTCACACATATTAAGGAATCCACCTTTTAACATTAATTAGTAATAAAATTGACCATATTAACCTTAATTTGCTCATTAGAAATATAACAAACTACTCTCAGACTCTTTACTCCATGAACAACTTTGAAAAGTAGAAGTTATTTCCTTCTTGATATCTTAAAAAATTAAATATTGTGGACCACAAAAAAATTACTTAGAGTGGACCGGAGGGAGTATTTGGAATTTGAAATTATGTTTGGAATGCATTTCATTTGGAAAAAAAAAAGTTATTTTCGAAAAATCTCCAAAACATGCAAAATTTCATAGACAAACACGATTTTGAAGAAAAATTCGAAAAAAGAAAAAAAAATCTATGGGAAAACGGGTCCTAAAATTCCGAACACATAAATTTCAAATCATAATAATTTTTACTTTTGCTATATTGTAGGTTGTTGCTGCAGCAATATCTGCCTGGTCTCTTCTCCTTTCAGAAATAAATGGATGGTGTGTTAATCACAAGAAATGGAAAGGGTATGATATATACAAATTATTTTTTGTGATTAGTTTGAATTAATTTTTCCAATTATATTTTCAGTTTAAATCTCTTCAAATTGGTGCAGGTTGTTCTCGTATTTGCTGAAACAACTAGAGGAAGATTATGATCAAAATGTCAATTCTGCCTGCGTAGAAGCACTTGGTGTAATTTTTGAAAATGGCAGCCTTGAGAAATTTTCAGATGATGCAGAAAATTATGCAAACTTAAAAGACATGAAAGATGATATATTGATAAGAGCTTCAAGTGTTACCAAAGAAAATGCTTTAAAACTTCTTGAGGTGTTTTAATTTCCTACTTAATTATGTCAAGAGTTAATTAACATTTGCAAAGTTTTCTTGTTTTGTTAACCAATAATCTGTCAATTTCATTACAGGATAATAGTGAAAAGAAAATCACACTCACAATATGTGAAACTACATTGACCTTAAGCACTTTTTCCCTCGTGAAGCAGGTAAACTTTCCCAATTTTTGTTTTCTTTTCAAATGTCAGTGATTTTTTTTCATCCGGCGTCTTGTATCTGTATTGGACTATCTAAATCCGAATTTGGGTCAGATAATCTCATATTGCGAGTAAAATACTTTTTAACAAAGACAACTTCATGTTCAGGGAAAATATTAATGATTGTTATGCTTTAATTAAGTTTTATTAACAAGTCTTTCAAATGCACTTCTGTGACAGATTAATTATTTAAAAAGATATCTAGGCGATGGCTTTAAAAATCACATGAAGGTTAGTTAGTTTCATCCTCTTAAGTTTTTCATGCATTTTGAATATTAATTACGTTAATATTGCATCTCATAATTATTTGATTGGAAATACAGGATAACGAGCACCTCCATAATATTTTTCAATTTTGGCCAGAGACAACTTCTGAAGATGGCGAAGATTTGTATCAACCCGAATTTGAAGGGGTGAGCTTTCTAAATTTTTTTATATAGAGAGAGTTTATCCATAGTGTTAATTTTCTATTTTCGGTATTCTTTTTTGTATGTTCATTTTTATTTCTCTTTCCTTCTTCACCAATTAATTGTTTTCCCTCAACTTCTAAAGTACTGAAAAGTCTTACTCAATACGTATATTTAAGGTGGCTCTTCGGGTTTTTGCACCTCACATTAGAAGGGAAGCTTGCACAAAGGTACTTTGTCACAGAATTAAATTCTCTTAAATTCATGAATTATGATATTGTTAATTATGAATGCTTATGATAGATATTTACCTATAATTATATATTATAAATAATGTGACTGCGTAAAGTTTTTACATCATTAGTGCATACAACTTATATACCGTTTTTGATATAGTGATCTTGATTTGAATCCTTGTCGTCTGATTTTTCTGTACAATCTTTTTTCCTTTATTTTTATTTTTGGTATTTAAGTTATATAATTTATTTTGTTTCGTTCCAGGGTTCATCTATGCCCTTTTTAACCCCACCAATACAATTTCGTATTACAATCTTGCCAGTGTTAATTATTGCTTTATTCTAATTTCTATACTATTAATAATCAGCATACATTCATCCTGTGAACTAATTAGATGAGCGTTAATAATTTCATAATTTAGGTTGTAATCAATTTCGTTGGATATCGTTTTTGAGCTTTTTACGCTTTGTTGAACTGTCACTAAATCGCCCAAACTTATGGGGTTTACTAATAGTGTGAATTTTCCATACAATAGATATTGGTTTGATTCGCAATGTCCACCTTCCCTTGTAATAGAAATATCAATACATTTAATAAAACTGTCATGACTAATTAGCTCAATATCCTTTTTTGTTCTGTCTATAGAGGATTTCCATGTCGCCTAGTTCTTTCCTGAGCAAGGCAAATACTCAATTGAGGAACAAGTACAGGATGCTTGCAGAGGTATTTATGCTTCTTTTCATATTTATTTTTATAAATTATGATTGTGATTTATCGTTTTGATTGTTAGCTCATGTTGTTCTATGTGTGTTTTTTAATGAGCAGAAGACTAAGGCTGGAGAATATGGAGTTGATCAAGAGTTTGAATATGATGAATACTAGTTGTATTAAGATATACTATAAACCGTGTGTTTTGTTACAGTACTCCTATGGAACAATTATTTATTTATTCAATTCAATAAAATTTTATTTTAAATGTCCTTTGCTTATATAATATATGATGATTTAGTGTATAGAGTTTAGCTTATACACGAAAGATCAAATCATCGGTTCTTATAAGTCATAAAGTTTATGTGCACAAACTAATGAAAGAATTGGATAAACCAATGGTTGTAGCACAAGATTAAATATAATTTATCTTGATTATGGGAATGGTTTAGTTCCGACTTCTTGGGCCAGTACATTTTGTATGTATTGAACGGATCAAATGGAGATAAGTATTTTATACTAACTTAATGAAATAATTCTCTAATTCATTCAATGTACATATACTCTTAATCTTGATATAATTATTATTAGTTGTGTGTGTCTTTTATTGTTTTGATCTATTAAAAGACGAAATTCTTTCGTAGGTCAATAAGCCTGGTAAATTGGACAATAATGATATACATTGACGAAATAGTAATTAGTTTATAGAATCCATATCTCGGTTTTAATTTGAGATTGATGATACTCCTTTATGAAAGCTTATAAGTTTTTATGTGTAAACCCGGCCGGTGGATTTTGTATCCGAACATGAAATAAGTTAAGCAAAAGTCCAAAGGAAGTAATCAATAAATTTAATTGCCGGTAATTTATTTTGATTGATTAGTATATGAAAACACTGGGAGTTAAATAAGATTTTATGAAAGAATTTCAAAATTGAACTAAGGAGTGCAATTACAAATTTTAACGGAATAATTCGTAATTTATTATGATAGATATTAATTAGTTCCATAATAGGGAGCCTTGTTAAGTAAATTTTATGGTGTCTACCGTGTCTAAATATTAGGAAATAAACGAAACCTTTTCTTGGTCAACAAGTTTTGGCAAAGGATTTTTATCTTAAAAACGTGTCTATATATACATGGGTTTTTCCTCCATAGAACTGGACGAAAATTTGGTGCTTTTTTCTTGAAATTTCGTCTACACGAATTGTGGGACGTTTTTGGAGGTTGTGACTGTGTTACTTTGGCACTGGAGACCAATGAGATAAAATTATTTTGTTTACGATTCAAGAGATAACTCGTGTAAATTCTATATATGCTAATTATTTAATTTACACGTGAATTCAATATCTAAATTATTTTCGCTTCGTTATATAATCGAACAAGTTGTATATTACTTAGAAAATCTAAAAAATGAATTGACTGTCTCTAGCTTTACTTTAGTTGTAAAACACTTAATTTCTTGCTATATTGGATGAAACTGACTCCTTCATGTGACTCTTATTTTCACGTTCGTCACAGTAACGGAGTCATATAGTAGTTGTTACTTTGACATTGTGCTTTCTTTTCCTTGAATTTTCGATTATTTATTACTGTATTCACATAATTGTTTGCCTTTTCATACCCTATATATTTTTTCAGATGTATTATTGAGCATGTTTCAAATCAAAGCAACAGGGTTAAACGTTAAAAAAATAATTAAGAATTTTGAGTTCGATAGAATAGTAGAAAATGCTCATGGAGTGTGTATAGAGTTGCACATTCACCGACAAGCTTATCTTCAGTTCAACTGAATGGACCTAACTACAGTTAAGTTGATATTTATACTATTGTATAGCTGGCTAATTTTTGAAAGTCTTATTTGCAGTTTTAACAAGTTAGAAACATGATATTAGGCTCTTTAATAGAGTATAACAAAACTACAATAAAATGCATCACAATACTTGTAGATATATAAGTTACTAAGGACGTATATTTCCTTTACATTTTCTATAAGACTTGAAGGTGGGGAATCAGAATATTGTGTTTGAATCTGATTCTTCACTCTAAAGACTTGAATTCTGACCATTATTTTTNCAATACTTGTAGATATATGGTGGCAGAAGTAATTAAGGACGTATAAGTCCTTTACATTTTCTATAAGACTTGAAGGTGGGGAATTACAATATTGTATTTTGATGAAACTTAGGATCCACCAAATTGTATATGGTACCAGGTTCTCTATCAGTTTCCACAGAACATACACAATAAGAGATAAGTAAATGACACAACAGAGTTTTACGTGGAAAACGCTCAGCTCACATGATTAAAAATCACGACCTACACTCGTAGGATTTCAACTTCACTAACCGAACAATTTTAGATTACAATCTATTGTAACCTAGGAATAAAACTCTTAATCTATCACTCACTTGTAATAACTCTATTACAAGCCTCTTTGTAATAACTCTATTACAAAGCTAACCACTCGACTAACTCTAGCCAAGACACAAACACAATGTTTGTGGTTTTACAAATGGTTTCCTACACAATGCTTCTAGCTAAGCTAAGTAGGAATTACAAATAATTCATTCTAACAAAGGCACAATACAACTTAGGACATATTGATAACATAGAGCTAGAAACGGGTCCTTCGTTCCGTTGTTCTTTGTTCTTGAAGCCTGGAAGTCACTTGCAAGATGTCAACACTCTTGAGAGAAAACATGATTAATTTTTCAGATGTGCAAGTGTGTGTTTTCTTCATTGGTTCATGTTAATAATATCCAAGTGACATCACTTGGATGATGCAAGCAATATCCGGTACAAGGCATTCCCCAAAATGTGACTGTTGCACTATTTACACTGTTGCATGTGTGCAGAGAAACAGTTGCAGCCACTTTACAGCTGTGAGAAGTTGACTGGTACAGTCAGCAAGGGAACTAATGTCAATTTGTTCCCTCTGTCGTATCTTTAACTCTAGCTGTTGGAACTTGTGCCCGATTTGAGATTTGTTGTGCTTTGGCACCTTGAGGATGTGTAACAGGTTTCTGATCTGGTTCTTATCATAAAGTTTGTTAGATCATCAAAATATGAAAAGGCACACATAACTTATCAATTTCTCCCTTTTTGATGATGACAAACTTATAATTGAAGTTCCCCCTTAAAACCAGAATCATGTACTTCGCCCTGAACCTGTTCTCCCTCTCAATTAATTTTCCCCCTTTTGGCACTTATAGTTAACTCATGCCACATGTGTGCACATAAATATGGATAAAAACATAGCAAAAGAGTATATACGGAATGCTCAGTAATTTTAAGGAAAAGAGAACAGAAAAGTAGTACCATTGGTACATAACCATTCAAAAATCAAAATAACTTAAAAGTACCAGCCACAAAAACAACAAAACAAAAAAGGGACCAAGGTAGGACATACAACTTTTCACTTGTCACTGGGGCACGGATGAAGAGGCAAGGGTTCTGAGAAAAATATCCATTCGGGCGTTTACATACACTTTCTCGTTAAGAAGCCGCTCCTTCAGGTCCTCGACTTGTTTCCTGAGATATGCATTTTCCTTGTTAAGAAGGGCAATCTCTATGCCAGGTGCACTACTGGAATCAGGTGCCTCCTGGGCCTGACTAAGCTGCCTTTCAAGAATAACATTACGTGCCTTCAACTTCCTTATCTCTTCATTGGGAGCATTCTGAACATCAATCAATTGAGAAATAGTGGAATTGCTGCCAACCCCTCCTTTCTTATCAATGCACTCACACTTTTCTAAGGTGGTTTTGGAGAAGGTTTGCTTGCGAGTTCCCATTGTTTCTTTTCCCAAAGGGACTTTGAAGAATTTGAACACACCTTCGTGACCAAGAACCCGTAGGGCAACCCATGATTATCATCCTTAAAGTCTGTCACTTTCTTCATATGCTCGATCATAAGGCATGGTAGATTGATTGTGGTATAGGAATCCAGTGCTTCCATTAGGAACAGGTCTTCTCGTGGCATAATGGTACGCTTTTCTGTATGTTGAAGCAAAACCTTGTTCACCATCTCGAATAACAGTTGATACACTGGAGGGAGGGCCTTGTTGTGCACCCATTCCCCTTGTTGCATTGCATCATCCTTCAGAATGGCATTTCTGAAATTGAGAGAACAGGTCCTCTCAATGGATGATATTTCTTCAGTAGGCACTCCCAAAATGCTCCCCAACACAGCCTCGTCCATCACAAAGTCTACGCCGTTGACCTTCAAACAGATGTTATCCTCTTCCACTGTGAATATATCTGCGTGGAAGCTACACACTTCTTCCTCATACACCTTAGGGCTCTCATTGGTGAACAAATATGTCCAATGTTGAAATTCACAAATATCAATCAGTTAGCGCATCCCCGTCATGTCAAGAATGTTAGGGGTAAATGTTCTTCCCCGCAGTACCCTTTGTTTTCTCAGATTTTCTCTGCTTTCATCCTTGGCCTCACTCACTTTGGCTTTCTTGGAGGAACCAGGTTCATCGTTGTCACCAACCTTCATTTTCACAGACTTTCTCACACTTTTCTCTTTCTTTGTAGACTTCTCAGACACTTTCTCACCAGACTTCTCAGACAAAGTTTCACCAAACTTTTCAGACACCTTTTCACTAGACTTGTCTACCTCAGTATTTATTTTTCATTTCTACAGCTTTCACAGATGTCTCTCTCCGGGGTTTTGGAATCACATGTTTCTTAGAGAACTTACGAATCAAGGAAGTAGGTTCCTCATTCACTTATTCATCATCAACATCAACAACAAGTGTTGGAGGCACTTCTTCCTCATTCACCAGCTTTCCCCCTTTCACCAGCCTCCTCATTTTCTTCTCGTCTTTATTTTTCTTCAGAACACATTCAAAAGCTTCCTTCTTTTGCGGCCTAGGAGTGGGTCCTTTAGGAGTGGGCTCTTTGGGAACTGCCTTCCTATTCCTAGCCGTAAAGAAGCTTGCTACAGATATATTGTCAGTCTTCTTCACTGTTGTTTCTCTTCCTCAGAAAGAGATCTCATCTCAGGAAAGACGATGTTTAACAGCTCAGTATTAAAGTGAGGAGAGTGAGCAGGATCAGTACTGACTTGGGGATCTTTCGAAGAGCAGGGAGTATCATCCTAAGTAGGAGCAGAGTGATAAGTTCCCTCATGTGTTTCCCTACTAGTACTATCATGTGCCAGATGTTCAAGTGGCACCAGTTCCCTACCCTTTTCCTTATGACCTTCACCTTCCTCCTGAGATCCAATAGTCTCATTAACA